CGCAGTGCGGGCTGCAAGCCGCGGCCTTCCTCCGCCTATGTCTCGCCTCGGCTGCGCCGCCCAACGCCGCGTGGCAGCGCCCCTCCTCCCGCCGCCCCCGCCCCGCAGCTGCTCAGCTCGTGCCCATAAGCTCCCACAGGTGGTTGGTCATCTCGAAGCCCGACTGCTGTGCCGGGTCCATCTCAAAGGCCTGAGGGCGGCGGCCATGCGGGCTAAGCCGGTCGCTCGGCTGGCCCGTCGGGAGAGGGAGGGGGCGGCGTGGTGGGGCGCCGAGGGGCACGGGGGCGAGGCTAACGCCGCGTCCAGCCGGGCCCTCGCCTTGTACGCGACCCGACGAGCACCTCCCCCCACCTCTGCCACTGCTCCCTCCTCTCCTCCCCTCTCCCTCCCTCCCTCCCCCTCTCCCCTCCCCCCCCCCCTCCCCCCCCACCTCTCCTCACCCTACTACAGCCGGGCCCTCGCCTTGATGCCACTCCCTCCGCTGGAGGCGAGGAAGCCCTTGACGTTGGACGTGCCAAAGTCCCACCGGATCGAAGAGATGTTTGCGTACAGCGAGATGGTGTGGCGCGCGCGAGGCACCTCGACGAGCTCCTGCTGCCGCACGCCCTGCGCGCGCGCGGGGGGTGGGGGGCGAGGCTCACTGGTCCGCGGGCCGGTGGCTAGCGGCGGGCAGGCCGGGGAGAGTTCACCTGCTCGCGCGCAGCAAGCTCGGACGCACGCGTCTCGGCGGTGCCGATCTGCTGCTGCAGCGCGAGGTTCTCCTGCCGCATCCGCGAGATAGACCGCTCCGCCCGCGCCTTGGCCGAGAGCAGCTCCTCCCGCACCGCGCTCCCCGCCTCCAGCTGCTCGCCCTCGGCAAGCCGCCGCCGCGCCCGCTCCGCCTCGTTTGTCAGCTCTCGGATGCTGCGGACGAGCTCGGCGTGGCGCGCGGTGGCGCGGCGCTTGATCTCGCAGATCTCGCGCCCCGCGTCGCGCGCGGTGTTTGGGTCGGTGCGCTCGGAGAAGATTTTGATTACAGTCTCGACGACGCCCTCGGCTTCGGAATACTTGTCGGCAGCGGGTGCTGCCATCGCGGACCTGCGACGACGCACGGTGCGCGATGGGTACTCGGTGCCAGAGGGGCGCGGTGAGGAGCGTGGGCTGGCGGCGGGCTGCCGGCTGGCTAACGCTCAAAGCAAAGGCGCGAGCGATCACAAAGAATTTTACAACAAAACTCCCTCGCACAACACTGGGCACAGGACTGGGCACGGGACTGGCTCGCACTGGCACTAACACAGGATTTCGGCTGACATTCTCACCATGCCCCCCTCCCCCCTCAAGGGCGAGGACACGCACAGGCCGCACCTCTAGTGAGGCCCGCATAGTATGTGGGAGACTCGTGCCGCCGCCCCTGCCACCCCTGTGTCAGTGTGCCTGTGGTAGGAGAGACTGCCAGCGACAAGCTGGAGGCAGGTCGCTAGACTGAGATGAGACCGCCAGTGGATGTGGGAGTCCACCGCGCACCGCGCTGCGAGCCTGTCGTGTCCCTTGTCAGGAGCAGGAGAGCCCCACCTGTCCCCCTGATCGTCCTTCCAAAATCCTGCTCGTGCAGGTGGGGACCCTGTCCTCGTCCCATCCCTCGTTTGCGTGTCTGTTTTCTTTCTTTTTTCCCTTGGGTTGTCTGTTTTCTTTCTTTCTTTCTTTCAGACAGGCTCGACACGGGTGCGGACTGGCGCGTGCTAGCACTATCACAGGCGAACCAAACTCCAAAGAATTCCCGCGCTCTCGGTCGTGCGTCGCCCAACTCTCCTGGAGGTGACTGCTCTATCTATGTATAATCATTAAAATAATCTGCCCTGCGGTGGCTCACCAAGGACTTTTCAGCGTGCTGCGTCATCACCGCGCGGCGCGCAAGCCACGCCTCACCCGGGCAAAAAGAACGACCGCGCGCCGCCGCCGCCCGCCTCGACGCGCCGCGCCGCCCCGCGCCTCGCCTCGCCTCGCCTTGCAGCAGCGCACGCGCACACGCACCCACGCGCCCGCGCTCGCTCCGCGAGAGCGAAGCAACCCTCCAAGCGAGTTCCGAACCGGGAGCCAAAAGGTCCCGGCTCGAACCGCGAACCGGTTCGACCACCGCCGCTGGCGGTTCTTGCAAAGGCATCAAAGGCAGTGCTTGATATAACGTGAAATAGTGCGAGCGCGCGAGATACTCACCCGACCCACCGTGCCCTCGCGACAGAGATCTCGCGCCGCGCGCGCTCGCACACGCCGCCCGAGAGCACTCCCACCCCCGCCGCCTCGCAAGCTCACAGGTTGATTTGAGGAGAAGCAGCTGGGGGAGGTCAAAGCGGGAGAAGGCGGCACGGCGGCGGCGGCGCGGCCCCCCCCCATCCCCACGCCTCCGGGTCGTGCGTACCGCCTCCGGGCGCGAGTGTCCCCCCAGCGTCTGCTCCGGCAGTCGCTCCGGTAATCAGGCCGAGAGTACCAGGGATGAGGGGAAAAGAGCCCAGGGTGGGGAGAGGAGAAGAGCCCAGGGAGGGGGGAGGAGAAGAGCCCAAGACGGCCTCCCTCTCCCTCCCCTCCCACCGGGCCTCCCTCTCCCTCTCCTCCCACCGGGCCTCCCTCTCCCCCTCCTCCCGCCAAGCACCGACAGTCTCGAGGGGCCAGCCGCTGGATGGGGCAAGCCAGCGGCACGAGGGCTTCAACCACACAGCTACCATGGGAACGCGACCCACACAAAGCACCAAAGTTAGGCATACCCCCCGGCGCAGTGTCCCCCGCTATGTGTCGCCGTTCGTCGGGGCACGCTATCCTGTGCAGTCAGGGCAAGTGGGGGCGGGGCGGAGTGCCCAGGAGCGTGCTCCTGGGATTTCTCTTCCCAGTCCGGGGGTGCGTCGAACCTTCCATCACCCTGTCGGAAGCGGCGTGCCGGTGGAGGCACGTCCGGGTGTTGGAAGTAAAGATATATTAATTTTTTTTAAAATAATCTGCCCAGGCTCTTTCTTGCTCTCACACACCGACGACAGTACTCTCATCTCTCATTCACATTCTGGCCTCTCCACGCCCTAGAGCTGTATGCCGCAAGCGGCAAGGCGCCAGACCGAGCTATGCCACAGAGGTATGCGCTCGTCTCAGGCCAGCTCCCAGCCTCCACCAGCAGAAGGCCGGGCGCTCCACTCACGAAGCGGCACGCACTGTGCGGGAGTCTGCCGACTCGCAGTTGCGGGCCGGCCTGCCTCCCACTCGGCGCCGGTCAAATCAGCAGGTCGTCCTCTTGCCAGCCGCCGTAGATGTCTTCGGCGGTGGCGCTGGCCGCCGCGGCCGCCTTCCGCTTCACCGCGTCGAGCCGCTCGCGCACCGACAGCCCTCCGCCGCGCGCCGGCGGCTGCGCGCCAAGCCCCCTCAGCGGCGTGCCCACCCCCGCCGTCGCCGCCGTCGCCGTGGTGGTGACGGTGGTGGTGGTGGTGGCGGCGGTGGTGGTGACAGCGGTGGCGGTGGTGGTGCTGCTGCTCTGGCCGACGCCCGGCGCGGGGAGGGCCGCCTCGGCCTGCAGCGACGG